CTCCTCCTCCTCCTCCTCCTCCTGCTTCTTCTTTTGGATACAGATAAATGCAAAGCTGAACTTAAAACTCACCATAATATTTATTTATAAAAAATATTTCAGGGAATACATAGCAAAAACATGTCCAAAAAACATTTTGGACATTAGGATAATTGGACGCTGTGCTTTATTTTGCAACACACTAGCTTCACATGCATCTTTTAACTTTAAAAAAAAATAGAATAATTTTAAAACAAATTCAGACAGGTCATGGACACCAAGAGAAGTTACTGGGGCTGGGGCAGTAGTGCCCACAGGTATCTAAATCTTATTATATTGTATAAGCCCTGATGCTATGAGTAAACATGTGTTAGTGTGTGTGCGCGCGTGTGTGTGTGTAGCCAACTGTGGTTTATGCACAATGTTTATTCAACAAACTTCACAATTCATTCAAAGTAAAATGCACGATTTGATTGATTCAGTAAACTATGATCAAGTAATGATGGGTATGAATTTCACCAATCAATGTTTAAAACTGCTTAGCTTCACCAGCTGGCTAAAATAATAAAACACAACATAGGCTGTGTTCATAAAACATACTGAATCCTAATTTATAAGCGATCACAGCTAAGTTATCATAGCTTGCTAGCCATATGGCTTTTTCATAATCCATGATTTAATGTATCTTCCCAGCATCATCCAGGCAGCACTGCAGTGATATAAAGCCTGTTCTTGTTATTATTTTGGAACAACCAGGGTTGGACGATTCTGGATGAATTATAAATCAGTAATTGGGTAAACATAATATACTGAGGAAATCAGGCCTTTTTGTTACAAAGTCTTTTCACAGTTTCTCTATTATTAATTAAATAGCCATAGTGCAGCAGTGGTTACAATGCAGTTGACACAGCCTTCCATCCTTTTATGGTCGTAAAATGAGGACCCAGGTTGTTTGGGGGCAATATGTTGACTCTGTAAACTGCTTAGGGAGGACTGTAAAGCACTGTGAAGCGGCATATACGGTAGGTCTAAGTGCTAGTGTTATTGCTAAATGTTTGGGCCCTTCCCATGTCATTATTCTCTGCTTCAATTTCAGTCCTTCTTTTGAAGAACAAATACAGACGACATGTGAATTACAACACTGAAATATCACAATTTAATGTTTGCATCAGATGTTGAAACAGAAATACATTATTGAAGGGGTCATCAAACTGCGGCTCTAGAGCCGCATGTGGCTCTTTCCTCCCTCTGCTGCGGCTCCATCACCGGTCGGTGCCACAATTTTGAGAGGAGTTTCTGGGGGGTGGGGGGAGAGAAGCACAGTGCGCCAGGAGAAGTCTCTATGGCAAGGGGAAGGTTTTCCAGTTGTCTCCACAATTGATAGGGCTTTCGGTTATGACAGGTAGAGGGAAAAGTACACCGCACTAGGAGGAGACTCTATGGTGGGGGAACTGAACTTCCGGTCAATTCCAGAATTGAACAGGGGGCTTCTGGTTAGGACCTTTGTGGCTCCCGGTGTTTTCTTTTCTGTGGGAAACGGGTCCAAATGGCTCTGAGTGTTTAAATTTGCCGACCCCTCCACTATTGGATGTTTTGTATGATGATATCATCCTAATTTGCTATGGACACCAGTAGGATGGAACTATCCAACTTTCTTTTCAAACTGCTAGGTTTTTTTCCCTCCCCTCCCCCCCCTTTTTTTGGTAGGAAGTCCTGTGGAATCTTACTTTTAATTTGCCATCCCATTAATGGCAAAAACAACATTTTGACAGCAATACGGTAGAAATCTTAAGCACAGAAATGCAGAAGTATGGGCCATCAAATCCAGCAGGATTTACACCACTATAGATATAGGCAAAATCTATATTATGTGGCTTACAGCACAAGGGTGGAACAAAGCAGCTTTCCAAAGGAAGCAGAAATTTATTTTAGGTGGGGATAAATCTCAGTGCATCCTAGTGTGAGCCAAACGCCGCTTGCTCATTCGCTGTTTCTCTCCCTGACTTTCTCTCTCACCGAGTTTTGTAGGGTCCACGTTGCACTTCTATAAGCTACGGGAAAACGGGGGTAGCAACGCTACAAAGCGAAACACGACACAGCGCGGACGCGAGGTTCCCCCCCCCACCCCCCCCACAAAAATGCACCGTTCTTCCTAAACTCTTCCTTTCTCCAGCAGGTGGCGCGAGCACACCAAGTCTAGCGTGTTTCACTTAAAGATGGCTTCTGAGGCTTCCTTGCCCACCAGAAAGATGGCGGGCCCCGCTCCGGCTCAATGGCATACCATCGATGACGGCGAAGTGGGGGGACGTGCGCCAAACTCCCAAGCACGCCTTCCCTTATTCCGTGGTCCCGGGGCTGCGCCTCTATGGTGGCCGCCGAAGTCTCTTTGGAAAGCTGAGGCTTAAGTGACGACTGCGCCAGAATCCGGCTTCTCTCCCCGTTTCGACGCCCTCCTCCCCTCCCCCTCTTTGAGCAGGTCAGTCGAACCTCCCGGATGGGAGCCCCGGAAAGGCGTTTCGGAGCATTGTCCCGATTGATGCTTGGGCCAAACAGGCTGGGTGGGAAGATGGGCTGCAGCCTCTTTGTTTGCCCGCGACCGGGCAAGGGGCTAGATGCGCTGCCTAGGAATAGTCGTGTCACTCAAGGCTGCTGGCTGGTCCTAATGCAACCAGCCTTTGTGGTTGACCGTGGCGACCTCTTCGTATGACAAGTAAAAGCCAGGCAGCTTTCCCCAACTTGCTGCTTTCCAATCAGTTTCCGGAACTATACCATACAGGTAATCCTCGACTTACAACAAACAGTTCATTTAGTGACCGTTCAGCATTGCCACTGCACTGAAAAAAGTGAGCTATGATCATTTTTCACAATTATTCCCCGTTGCAGCATTTCCCCCATGGTCACGTGATTTACACTCGGGTGCTTGCCAACTGGTTCATATGTACAACGGTTGCAGTGTCCCGAAGTTATGTGATCCTCTTTTTGTGACCTTCGGACAAGCAAAGTCAATGGGGAAGCCAAATTCACTTGACAACTGTGTCACTGTATAGATTCACTTAACAAATGGGGCAAGAAAAGACGTAAAATGGAGCAAAGCTCACTGAACAAATTTCTCACTTAGCAACATAAATTCTGACCTCAATTGTGGTTGTAAGTTGAGGACTTGCCTGTATTGTAATGCCATTATCCTCAGCGGGAAGAAGGGGACATATCTGGAGAGTATGGTTAGGACAGTGTTGGCGAACCTTTTTGGCACCAAGTGCCGAAACCGGGGGGGGGGGGGCGGCACATGCACATACTGGAAACTGGAAGAGCAGCCACCAGGTGCGCCTGCGCACGCCAGGAAGATTATCTTCCAGTTTCCAGAATGCTGACCAGCCACCTGCTCTTCCGGTTTCTGGCGTGCATGCACACATGAAGACAAGCTGGCTAGAGCGCATGCATGCGCCAGAAATCAGAATATCATCTTCCCGGCATGCGCATCGGGTGGCTTCTCTTCCCATTTCTGGCACTTCCATGAGCATGAAGACCAGCCGGCCAGCACACTGGAACCCAGGAGAGCAGCGGGCGACGGCTTGCATGCCTGGAGAGATGACTCTGCATGCCACTTCCAGCACGTATGCCATAGGTTCACCATCACAAGGTTAGGAGATCGCTTCCTTGGATTCCTTAACACAGGGCTGCCAAACTCCCGGCCCGCGGATGGATGCGTCAGGTGCTAGCCACGCCCACTCCTGGTTTAGTGAAAGGGGGGAAAGTCCGGATACGTCACGTGGCACTGCCATGATGACACAAGTTTGACACCCCTGCCTTAACATAAGTACCACATGGAACACTGCTTTTGTTTCATTAATCCTGGATCCCTTTCAGTTTTGGTAAAGATTTACCCACTTGCGAAATTAAGAAATAAAACTTCTCTCTACATCTTGGGCAATCTTTAGAAATCATAGCATTTATGCCCTTCAGTTTTTTCTGAGAAGTCAACCCTCATGGCTAACATGGAGTTCTCCACTATAGTTATCCTCACCATCCCCTTGTGAGGTAGTCTGGACTAAGGGAGGGTAAAGATCCAAGGGAAGCCCTGTTGAATGAGGCCTTGAATCTCAACCTCTCCAGTTGCCATTACTGTTGTATTATACCTTTCCCCAGCATAATGCCCTCGGAGATTATAGTTCAACATATTAGTGCATTCCCTTGCTGCTACAATTGACAGGATGTGTGGTCTAGGCTTATGTGGGATGATTGTAGGATAGTAATGCCTCTTTTTGATCATTCTCTGTCAGTCCAAAAAATGAAATACATATTCTAGATACATCAGCTTTCTCTTCTGGGAAGCAAGGGCAAATGTGTAATTTCCTTAGAAATAGATCCAGGGAACTTGCCCTGTTAATTATCTATCAACTAGTCCTGCAAATTGTCTGATCCATTTAATGCAATCGTTCAGATGAAGCTTTTGCTGAATTGCATTACAACAGGCAGTTTGTATTTTTGAATATTCTTTTATTTAAATAAAAACAATTCTCTTTCAAGGAGAAAGATAAAGAGTTGGGGCAAAAGTTTTTTGTGTCTTTTTCTACATACTGTACCTGAAAGTTTCTGAGGGAGCAGTATTCATTCCATTTGGAGTGGTACAGGCTCCGGAACGAATTGCCTTTACTGTAAAATCTACTGAATTTAGCATGAAGAATATATGAATTAGGCCTCTGACAGAGTTAGATCTATTCTTGTTTCATTGGGTTAATCAAAAAAGCTTCCTCCTTTCCAAGTTTGGCTGCTTTCATACATAAAAGTAATATTTCACAAAATTTTATACGAGTGTTGAAGAATTTGAATCACGTATGCTTTGCGTATCTGTTTTTTATATGCTGGTTGTCAAAAAGTCATCCTTTCAGCTTTACACAAGTCGCAATTGTAGAGGACAGGGGCTAGAATATAATGCAACTTAAGTAAGCATAGATGGTATTGTAGCTTTTGAATTAAATGAGAATTTTTCTCAGTTAATCTACCATCATCTATCTGGCCAGTGATTGCAAGAATTTTAAATACTGAAAACTTGTGTAAGTCCTTAGTGAGAATATGGAAGATCTGACATCAAAACTGATTTGGATGAGAAGGGTAATTTATGAAGCTGATGAAATGTTGTCAACTGTATTTCCATTTAACAGGATGGAAAAAAAGAAAATTTCCATGAAATCCAGTGTTGCTGCCTCCAACCTCCTGAAGACATTACATTCGTTCTATGAATTTGGACATTTTTGTGATGTTACAATATACACAGACCAGCTGGGTAGCCAACAAGAATTTTATGTCCACAAAGCTGTTTTAGCAGCTTCTAGCAATTACTTTAAAAGCATTTTTCTCAATAATGAAATGAATAACGTCAAAAGCTGCACAGTGATCCTCCAGGATATTCATGCTGAAGAATTTGTCTCATTCCTGAAGTTTGTCTACACTGCAGAGTTAGAAATTGAAGTGGACAGACTGCACCTGTTCAAGGAGATCGCTAAGAGATTTGAATGCGAAGATCTGCTTGAAATTTTGGAAGAAATGAAGGTTGTAGGTGGAAAATTGGAACCAAATGTTATTTTGAAAAAAAGCAAAGGTGTTAGGTTGCCTGGGAATCTAACAGAACTTGGAGGAGAAAAAGCACAGCGTGATTCGTCTCGTGTTTTGGCTGCTGCAGTGATGAAGAAGAATCATTTGGGGAAAAGAACGACCCATTCAAAACCAACCACCAGTTTTGATGATATTAAAAACATATGTGTAAACCCTAATGAAGATAGGATTGCAAGTTGTAATTCCAAAGATGAGTCAGCAACGACGTCTGAGCATATCAGTGAGGTTGACTGTCCTTCAGTAAATGAGGAGGACTTGAAGGAAACCCACATTGCTTTAAGCAGGACATTGCTTGACCAAAACGATGAAAGTAGTTTGACGCCTTCTAAGGCCAAACTCAGAAAATCAACCTGCAATATACCAAAAGCCTTGCCAAGATCATATGCCTGTGACAAGTGTAATTATTTATTCCATTTCGCTGAGCAATACCAATCACACATTGAACTGGAGCACAGCCCAAGCTTGGGAGTTAAGTATAGCTGCAATATATGTAGCCAACTCTTCCCCAGTTGTCACACTCTAAGGCAACACAGGCTCACTGTCCACAGCCGACAGGGGACTGTCCCTTGTTTGCTGTGTGAGAAAAAGTTTCAGTGCCAAAAGGATGTCAATGCTCATATGCGCACGGTGCATGAAAAGAAGCAGCATCCGCAACAGTGCCCCTACTGTGACAAAGTCATCAGCTCCAAGGGCGGCCTGACAGTTCACATACGAACCCACACAGGAGAGAAGCCTTATAAGTGTCAGTGCTGCCCAGCCAGTTTTGCTCAGAGGTCAGCCTTTACCACTCACGTAAGGTAAATCCTTTTTTCAAAAAAAAAATACATAAAAAGCAAGACAACAGTACCAAAGAGAAGTTAGCTTGTGAGCTTTTTAGCTTTCGATTTTGTAGCAGAGTTCCTACATTATGCTCAGGCGTAATGGAGCTGGTTTGGTGTTGGTTTACTGTGGGGGTTTTTTGGTATAAATTTTATTAAAAATTGATAACATAAAAACTAACCCAGAGTAATAAAGTTATTCATAGGATGACTAAGGAAGTAAGGAAGAGTATCGGGAAGCGAAGAAAGAGAAAAGAAAAAATGCAAAAAGAAATACCCTGTTTCCCTGAAAATAAGACCTCCCTGGATAATAGGCCCAATCGGGCTTTTGAGTGCATGTGCTAAAATAAGCCCTCCTCCGAAAATAAGCCCTCCTTGAAAATTATGCAACGCAGTAGCAGTCATGAGGTGACACACTCACCACCTCTTGCATCTCAAAAATAATAAGACCTTCCTGAAAGTAAGGCCAAATGCTTATTTCTGGGGGTCAAAAGAAAGACACTGAAAAGACCCTCAAAAGACACTGTCTTATTTTGGGGGAAACAAGGTAGAAAAGCCTTCCATTTTTTCTGCAGCAAATATAAGTAGAATTAAACTATTAGCTCTTACCCTTACAAAACTCTCTGTTTTCTATTATCCAACCACAAACCATGAGTACATTTTTTCAATTTCATGCAAAAAGTTTGTAAGCAGTTTCCCATCAGCCATAAACACAGATATTGATTTTTCTGTAACCAAAGAAATTGATTTAGCCATTTCTACAAGTTCCATCATCTTCACCAACCACTGCTCCATTGTGGGTAATTTTTCCATTATTATAGCCATATTGTTTTAGCTTTTTGCATGTCCACCAAATATAGTAAAATATCCCTTCAATGTGTTTACATTTCCAGTGGAGATTCAAAGTACTTTTATATATTCTAGAAGTTTCTGTTTATAATGATATATCATCAGTGGTAGGTTGCAAAAAATTGTATTACCATTTCGCACGCTCTCCTGTGCATGCTCACTCATGCAACGCTCCTGCGCATCCGGGCAGGTGGGTGGGGCCTCCTGCCGCCTCTACTGGTTCGACCAAACTGGAGGCAACCCACCACTGTATATCATTTTATAAAAATTCTCTTTGAAGCTAGAACATAAAATACAGCTAATCCCCAACCTACAACCAGTCACTTTGCAATTGTTCAAAGTTACAGTGGACTTACGAACCAGTCTCAAAATTTTGGCTGCTGTAATAACTTCCCCCTCCTTCCTCCCACTGGGCCCTACACCCTCCTTCTCCCCGGGGTGGTATTCACTTACCTTCCCTACTGGTTCGCAAATGTGAGTATACATTTCCACCCACTTTGGGGAGATAATAAAGCGCGTCTTATGGAGCAAAAAATACGGTAATTCCCAACAGAAGTTCTTTTTTTGTTTCCTCTGTTGACTGAATCCAGTCAATGTGATTTCTGATATATGACAGACAGGGGCAACCTATGTGACAGCTATGGTTCCTGGAAACTCCATTTGTAATTTTCAGAGCCGCCTGAGTGGATAGGGCTAAAGATTTTGAAACTTCTCATTTTGAGAACTTGGGACAAAGTTATTGGGCAAAATCAGGCTGATGGCTCTCATTTGGGAAGATACTATGTGCAAATGGCTTTTAAAAGTTTCTGTAAGGCTCAAAGAACCATTTTCCTATCTATAAATTCTTTTTTTTCCAATAGAAAGATACACGAATCCAAGAAAGATGGGAAATGCATGCCAGCTTATTGGAAAATAGTTCCGCCAGCAGAGAAAGTAGATGCGATAGATAATAGAATCAACGCGAGTAATAAAACACAACTCAAGGTGCCAAATAATGATCTGCCAAAGGAAATACTTGGCAAAGCTACTCAGGAGCCTGAGAGAAAATCTAGTAGATCTCTTCCAGAGGAAGCACAATCTGACAATCAATCAAACAAGAAGCTGGAACTAGGTACTGAAAATAATGCTAAAAAGGAGGAAACTTGTAGACAAGGAACTGTGGATGAGAAAGGAAATGGAGAAAGAGTTTGTGAAGCCGGTTTATGCAGCAATAAAGACAATGAAGCCGCCTCTTCAGATGATAATTACAGTGAGGATTTAAATGTTCATGATACAGAAGACCCTGAATGGGATATAAATTGCAAAGTTAACAAAAACAAGGCCATCCCGACATCTGCTTACATCATAACTTGTACCAAATGCACAGAGAAGTTTCCATCACGAAGGAAATACGTCATCCACTGCAAAGAAATTCATCATTCCTTGCCCGGGAAAGTATATCAGTGTGATGTTTGCAGCAAATCCTTTGCGAGTTACAACAGCTGGAAAGAGCACCAAGCCTGCGTGCACACAGAAGACAGGAAGTTTGCCTGCACCCTGTGCAATGCCACTTTCAAAAGGAAGAGGGATGTGAGGACACACTCTGTGAGGAAGCATGAAGGTCGAGTGAAGCGTCCCCTCTGCTCCGTGTGTGGGAAAGTCCTGAGCTCCAGAACAGCGCTTGTCTTTCACATGAGGACCCACACAGGAGAGAAGCCATATCAGTGTGGCATTTGTAGCTCAAGGTTTGCTCAGCCAACACAGCTCAAGATTCATACCAGGTCAGCTTCTACTACCTCTTCCTTTTCTCCCTTCATGTTTTGTTTTAAAATGTTTATATCTATCTATCTATCTATCTATCTATCTATCTATCTATCTATCTATCTATCTATCTATCTATCTATCTATCTATCTATCTATC